TCCCCCCCCCCCCCACTTGGCATTCGCGCTTTTGTTCCTGCCCCCCCCTCCCCCCTGACACGCAGACGTGGGTTGATTCCCGCAATGACACCGCGGTGTACAAGACCACCCCTGTGTCCGGCGGTCGATTGTCGCGGGCCTTCCCGGGTCTTCGGAAGAGGGTGGATTTCCAGGTGCATTGCGAGGCGGTGTCCCTTCATCTGCCGCTCCACCGGTTCTTCTGCAAGGTGGGTGTTGTTTGTCGTTGGGGGGGACTACGTACCGCTGCTGCTGCTGCGGCGGCGGCGGCGGCGGCGGCGGCGGAGTTTGTGTTGGTTTTGTTGTTTTAGTTGTTTTGGTCGATGGGTGATATATTCTGTCACATTTAAGCTCTATTGCTTCCAAGTTCCCCTGGCCGTTGTATGTACCAGTAGCTGTTGTGTTGTGTTGCTGTTGCTGTCGCGGTTGTTGCTGTCGTTTTGTTCTCACCTATTGTGCGTTTTCGTTTGCTCTTCTGTTGTTGGCCTCTCGTTGGCTGTCGTTCTTCATTCAGGTGGTGCAAACCCTGGCCCAGGAAGGGATGGCGATTCCACGCGTGCCGCAGGACGTCCTGCTGCCCCTCGTGGAGTTTCCCATGAGGGCGCTAGTCTTCCACGCCCAGGTACTGCAGAACACTGCCGTACTGTAGGTGGTGTTGTCACATGTAGTACACGGGGATTGTTGTCGCAGCATTTTTGTTTTGTCGTAGCATTGTCGGAAACTTTTTTGTAATTCCAAGCGACGATAAAAACATGTGTCCGATCACCTCATAATAATATTTGTACTAGGCCGGTCGCCCCGGTGGTCTATAATAGGTTTGTCCTCGAAAACCGCTCGTCGCAAAGGTCGTGAGTTCGAATCCCCATAGGGTGAAACATTGACAATATTTGCGGGGGAAAGCGAAAAATGGGTGAAAAGCTCTCGTGAGACCAAACTTCGACGTTAGCACCGTTGACGAGGGAGAGGGACGCCTGGACCCTTCTCGCGATAAAAATGAAACTGAGCACGCACCGCAGGAGGAAGGTGGGGCACGACCGTAAATGAAAGGAAGAAAATCTCTCTGGTGTTTACCCCCCTCCTGTGTGACCCTGGATGGTTGTAGCTGTACGAAAAAATACGCTGAAAAACGTAGTACTCTACATTCTCTGAAAAGTGTAGTACACGTCTCACCAAATAAAAAAGAGGGACTGCCGCCATAATAACTAGGACGAAAACACACACAACACACATACTCACAAGTACTTGTACTTGGTATTATCCGCGCAAGGTTAATATCGCATTGTTCCATCCGCGACTTTCTTTTTTAAGTAACAACATTACGACTTCTTGATGTAGGTATACCCCCCCCCCCCCCCCCCCCCCCCCCCCCCCCCCCCCCCCCCCCCCCCCCCCCCCCCNCCCCCCCCCCCCCCCCCCCCTCCCTTCCACCACCTGTAACCCCTGCCTTCCTCTCTTACGGGGCTTGGTGCCCTGTCTCGGAACAGGTGATGGCCAGGCTGTGGGTGCGAAATGGGCTTTCGGCGGAGCACCAAGTGGTGAGTTGTTGCTTGCATGTGTCAGAGCAGCAAGCGATTTCATCATCATCCGTCTCTTGGCTACCCCTGAGGTAGCAAATCCAGAGGTTGATGGTATTGCAGTAGGGCAATGGCGGTCAAGCGGCGTCAAACCCTGGGTAGCAAATGGAACGGTTTACGGTATAGCAGTAATGCAGTGGCGGTCAAGCGGTGGAGCCCCAGCTCTAGATTTGGCGTTTGTGTGTATTTCGTGTCTTGCTCGTCTGTGTCAAAACAGGAAGCGATTTCGTGATCATCCGTCTCGTGTCTACCTCTGAGGTAGCAGATCGAAAGGTTGGCGGTATTGCAGTACTGCAGTGAGTGCAGTGGCGGTCAAGCTGTGCCTACCCCTGGACATGCAAATGGAAAGGAGGAAGGTATATATGTAGTGTAGTGTGGTGGCGATGAAGCAGCGAGGCCACGGCGCTATTTGATTTGGCGCTGTGTGTGTAGAGTAGCAAACGATTTCATCATCCGCCTCCTCCCTGTCTACCGCTGGACGTGCGATTGGACTTGATGAGAGCGTAGAAGTACTGGTGAGAGCGGTGGCGGTGAAGAAGTGAAGCCACAGCTCTAGGTTTGGCGCTGTGTGTGGAGCATGTCGTTTCTTACATATGTGTAAGAGCAGCGAGCGACTCGCCCGTCTCTTGTCTAGCCTAGCCCCGGGTGGCGAAAACCGAAAGGATGACGGTGTGGCGATAGTGGTAATGAAGCCGCAGCCTTGCATTCCCGCCCGGCTTAAAGGCAGTGCCGGGGGTGCATCTATTGGGACCGCCTCCGCGAGTATATGGCTACATGATTGTATTAATTCATGAAATAGAGAGGGGGGGTTCGTATCCCTGACCGTAGCCCTAACCCCGAACCCCCACCTAGTATTGCTTTGTAATCCTCGCGAACGCTACTGATGAGGGCCACTCTTGGTATTCTCTTCGTTGGCGTGTTATTTGGGCTTCGATGGCCGCGTCAGACCTCCCAAGACGCTTCTGAAAAACGACTTGAACGACCGAACAAAATAGAATATGACGATGACCAAACGGTGAGCAAGAGACGAACAAAAAAAAAACAGAAAATAAAAACGCAGCAGCTGATTATGAATGAATGCCTGCTTTGCCCTTGGGTTCGATACGTGTCTGTCGTTTTTTTTTTTTTTTGTGAAGATGAACTACTCGTCGCCGTCCTTGTGCCGGCACATGCGAGACCTGGACATGGTTGCCCTCCAGGTGGGCTGCCTGCACATGGGCGCGGAGAACTTCCTCGGCCTGCTGATCGACAAGTTCGCCCTTGAGGAGTGAGTGTTCTTGTTCTTGTTCTTGTTCTTGTTCTTGTTCTTGTTCTTGTTGTTGTTGTTGTTGTTGTTGTTGTTGTTGTTGTTGTTGTTGTTGTTGTTGTTGTTGCTGCTGCTGTGGTCATCGCTGTGGTCATCGCTGTCGCCGTTGCAGTTGCTCATGTTGTTGATACAAGCTTCGTTGCTGCTGCTGCTGCTGGTGGTACTGGTGTTGGTAGTACTGATGCTGTTGTTGCCTACTCCGTTTTTTTTTTTTCTCCGTGCGTGGCCAATTTAAGTGGTTCGCCAGGTCGGCCTGCAACGCATATCATTGCATGCCGAGGCTCGCGTCTGAGACTCACACAGCACTGGATTTCTATAGCAGTGCTTCGTGCATCGAACCCGCTTTGTGCATGTGTGTGACCCCAACGCGCGACTAAGCATAGTCTACGCCCTTTGTGAAAATAAGAGGACCGTGTGCACCCCTCGCTTGCGTGTTGCCAGACGTTGCCTTGTAAACTATTTCCACAACGATCAGCCAGGAGCAGAGGTACACGTCAGTGGCGATGGCATGCGTGATCAAGTTGTCACCACAACATGCCCCACATTACGAAAGTTCAATTTAGGTTTGTCAACTGGGAAAGGTGCGCTCCAAATCGAAATATTTCGTCTGATACATAAGCCCCCACCTTTGACTCGGATCCCTGATCACCCCCCCCCCCCCCCCCCCCCCCCCCCCCCCCCCCCCCCCNCCCCCCCCCCCCCCCCTCCCCTCCCCCCATGATCCATCCTCTCGAGGACAAGTGGTCAAGGACATAGCCAATTTTGCCACGCAAAGGATGAGCATGATGCCCCCCCCCTCCCCCCCCTCGCCCCCGCTAGGCTTCTCCTTGAACCTGTCCCTGAGGGTGAGACCACCGCGGCGGCATCGGTACAACCGCCTTCACCGCCAGGTCGCCTGCAGCAGAGTGACGGCAGCGGTGGTGCGCCAGCGGTCGGGCCTCAGCTTCCGCTGCCCCCGTTCCTACCCCTGCCCACCGGAGTAGCGGTAGGGGCGGAGGAAGCGGCGTCGCCTTCGGCGGCGGCGGCGGCGGCGGCGGCGGTGACGGCGGCGGCAGCGGACAAGGCGGCCGAGCTGAGGAAGATCCCGGAGGGGGCCCGCCTGCTCCTGGCCGAGGAGTTCCTGTCGCTGCTCGTGATGCTGCTGACGGAGCTCCCGCGGCCGGCGGGGAGGGCGTCGGCGAGGGGAGCGCTGCGGAGGGAGGTGGTGCACCGGCTCGCCAGCTCGGAGTGCACGCACAGCGAGGTGGCCGCGGTCACCGCTAACCTGATGGAGGTGAGGGGACGGGGGCGCGCGCGGGGGGGAGGGGGGTGTACTCATAGTCGTGCATGCCGTAGTCGTTAGACCATTGACCTCGCATCCCTACAAAGCCGGGACGGAGCACGCCGGGTTCTCACCGGACCAGGCTCTCACATCACCAAGCGCGAAGCGCCGTGAGATATTCGGCGAGTCGCATGAAGGGTGCGCTGCATCCTGCTAAGGGTTTTCGGCATCTTGTGCTTACTTCCTTGCGTACGGATGACAGCTGCGTATGACTTAATTTATTTTCTGGTGCTTCAATTCCTGAGACAGTTGTTAGCATTGTGTAACTGCCTTTAGGGCGCTGTACCATTTCAACACAACGTGGTGCGATCATCCCCCTTGCGCGGAGTGAGG